AGGAAATACTGTTTATAGGATAGCAGAGAGGTCTCTAGAGTGGACTGTAATAGAAACTAAGAAAGAATCTTAAAGGGTAAAGGTATCACTATCAGAGCTTACTACATGACCTTGAATAAATTACTTAGCTTCTGTACAACTGATTTCCCATTAGAAAATGAAGTAAATTACCTTTTCCCACTTCATATTACACTGTAGTCATCAATTCCTTCATCTTCAACCTTGAAATTTGCTAAAAAGATAAATGAAATGAAAGAATATAGAGGACAACAGGTTTTTTTTTTTTTTTGAGGCATGGTCTTACTATGTAGCCCAGGATAACCTTGAATTCTCAATGCTTCTACCTTAGTCTGCTTTTAGATCCTCACATTCAGTGTCTGCCATTTGGGTTTCTGGTCTGATCTTTGACTTTCCAACACATTCAATGGCTCAAAGAAATAGTGAGAGTTGGATATATGATGCCAAATGTTAGAATCATAAATTGAATAACATACATTATAGACACTTTTAGTTTCCAAAAATTTCCTTGTTGGAAAACTACAAAACAAACAACAACAATAAACAAAACAAAACAAAAAACCCTTGGGATACCCTCTGGGCTTTGAGTAAGCACTTGATGGCCTGCTGGAGTTCCCTAGCCTAAGTTTCAGGTTGAGAAGGATGGTTCTCTCTGGTTCCAATCAATATAGGCAGAAGAATACAAGTTTTCACAGACTAGAAAAATGTTAGATTAGTAACAGTTTTGTGAGATAGGATAATAACTCTTGAAACAACTAGTATGTAGGTTTGAGGAGGTGTGTTCCAGGAGCAAGAAAAAGAACAAAGTATAACATGTGATCTTGGGAGAGGGAGAGTGACAGAGACTGGACAATACATCAATGTCATCAGAAGATAGAGGAATTTCCCAGGGGTGAATTGTGCCTGTCCTAAGATGTTTTACACAAACATATACCCTCACACACGCATATGCATCTTATCCTCTATGTAAACATGGTCTAGGCCAGTATAATTATTTAAAAGACATTTCCTTGTATTTATATAGGAATTCACCAAAAAACATGTAAATATATAAAGTATTGAGTTAAAAAACAAACAAACCAACACCAAGCATTGGTGGCTCATACCTGTAATCAATCTTAGCAATTTGGGAGGCTGAGATTGGGAAGATTGTGATTTGAGGCCAGCCCAGGCAAATAGTTTGAGAGACCCGCATCTCCAAAATATTCAGAGTGAAATGGACTGGAGGTGTGTCTTAATACGTAGAGTGTCTGCTTTGCAAGCATGAAGCCCTGAGTTCAAACTCAGGTCCCACCAATAACAAACAAACAAACAAGAAAACCCACCTCACTTAACCCTTCTCTCCTGTTAGCTTTCCCACCAACTCAGTAAGTTCCTTCAGTGATGAAAACAAAATAGGAAAAGATTTGTGGCCAAGGGGCAAAAATCTGTTAGGCCAGGTTGAAAAGGAAGCAGAAAGAAATGTTTCTTTCCTCCAACCACATGCTGTGAGGTGAATCCTGCCACAACTTGGTTTTATTAAATGAAGTTTTATTGGCACACAGTCATGCTCATTTGTTTTCATACTGTCTACTGATTTCCTCCCTTTAATAGGATAGTGACCACAGAGACCCTATGATCTGCAAAACCAGAAATACTTACCATCTGGCTCTTTACAGAAAACATTTGCTGATTCCTGCCTCAAATAGCCAAAGAAGGAAAGCAAGGTGTTTATAGAAACTGGGAGAAGTGTTGACTAAGGAGAAGCAACAAGGTTTTAAATAGAGAACATAATACATACATCTTTGTGTGGAGGGTGCTTTGTCTACTACAAAGGAAGTTAACAATACCTCCACTTCTACACTTGAGACTAGTAAATAAGTACACAGAGTGTATTACCTTGATGTAGGTATAAGGGAAAGAGAGGGAGGAGGGAGTCAGTAACTATGTTTACATGGCAGTTCTAGTCATTAGAGAAGCCTTTCTGAATACCTAGGATTTGCTAGGTTTACTTGAACAAAGAAAAGGCATGGAAGTAGCAAAGTCTATACAAACCCTTTTTTTTGTGGTACTTGGGCTTGAACTCAGGGCCTACACCTTGAGCCACTCCACCAGCCCTTTTTTTGTGTGTGTTGAGTTTTTTTGAGATAGGGTCTCACAGACTATTTGCCTGGACTGGCTTTGAACCAAGATCCTCCTAATCTCTGCCTCCTGAGAAGCTAGGATTCCAGGCATGATCCAGTGGCTCCCTGCTCTATGAGGTTTTTTTTAATATTATTTTTATTTTTTGGTGGGACTGGCGTGTGAACCTGACTTTGCACTGGTAAAGCAGGTGCTCTCAAAGCAGGTGCTCTACACTTTGAGCCACACCTCCAGTCCATTTTGCTCTGGTTATTTTTTGGAGATGGTAGGTCTCATGAACTGTTTGCCCGTGCTGGCCTTGAATTTCAGTCCTCCTGATTTCAGCCCTCTCAAGTAGGTGGGATCATGGTAGTGAGCCACCAGTGCCCAGCTAATATTATTTTTTAATTTTATCAAAATACATATATACATAATTTACCATCTTAGCTGGGCACTGGATAAAAAATACCATTTTAACCATCTTTAAGTTAATAAGTATATATTCACTGGCAATAAGTATATATTCATTTTGTTGTACAACTGCACCTAAGGTTGTCTTAATTTGAATGAAATCAGAAGCTGTTTATTTATTTATATATTTATTTTTATTGCTGTAATGAGGAAAGTCTTGAGCTTGCTAGAAGAAACTATTTTGAAAGAAATGGGAAAGTGGGGTGCAATGGTTAGGACATGGAATCATAATATTCTTTTTTAGGAACAAGCATTGAGAGAGATGGGGAGAGGAGGGACAGCAATGGGCAAGTATACCTATATTACTTGTCATCAGGAAAAGAATAGCATTGGGCCCCTTACTGCCTATCCATCATGCTTCTAAAGGATATCAGGACTCAGCCCATCTGTTTTCCTGGATCAAGAGATTATCTGTTGAAATCTACCAGCCTTAGGAATGCAGTGGTGCTCTCCAACACCCATTCTTTGTCTAGGATGACGTCTTTGGCTTCTTCACTGGGGTGTAGGGAGGTGCAATAGTGCCCCCTGCTGATCAGCACCCAGATGACAAAAATCTTACTTGTTCCACAGTTCCTCTAAGACTTCTCCAAAACAATCTGAATAAATTCCAGGCGAAAATAAATTCTTGAGCAGGCTGAATGGCTCATGTGGTAGAGTGCCTGCCTACAAGTGTGACAGAGCTGAGTTCAAACCCTACTATTGCCAAAACATAAAAATAGAAAAATAAAGATAATTTATATTAAAAAGCATTTCTTAACCCCCCCCCAAAAAAAATTCTCAGGCCATCAGGAAAGAGTTTACTGAAAGTCAGAACCTTCTCTTCCTTCCCAATTTGGGGGAAAGGAGAAATCAAAGTGTACAGATTACTCTACTGAACAAATTATTGCCTGTCCAGGTTGTTTCTTCTGATTTATCTTATTACTGGCATTTCCAAAAAGAGATAGGAAGATAGAGCCTCTGGAGGGAGCATCCTCAGAACCAGAATCAGACAGGGAGAGCAGCAACTGTCTTGCTAACTCTTTCCAGAGTAAGAATTCTTTTTTTTTTTTGGTAGGACTGAGATTTTAACTCAGGGCTTTGCACTTACAAATCAGGTGCCCTACTGCTTGACCCAAACCTTCAGTTCATTTTGCTCTGGTTATTTTGGTGTTGGATTTCTTGAACTATGTACTCAAGCTGGCCCTGAACCATGATTCTTCAGATCTTAGCCTCCCAAGTAGCTAGGATTACAGGCATGAGCCACCAGCACTCTGACAGAATAAAGATTCTTAAATCTAAGTCCTTTGCCACATTCTAATTCTCTAGGGGAAAAGAACTGCACCGAGAGAAAATTATCATTATTACTTTTTTTTTTTTTTTTGGTGCTGGAGCTTGAACTCAGGGCCTACACCTTGAGCAACTCCACCAGCCCTTTTTGTGAAGGGGTTTTTCAAGATAAGGTCACTCGAACTATTTGCCCAGTCTGGCTTCAAACTGCAATCCTCCTGATCTCTGCCTCCTGAGTAGCTAGGATTACAGTAGTGAGGTGCCACGCCTGACGCATTATTACTTATTGAGAAGGTGAGAGGAATACGAAGAAGTGGAGAAAATAAAATTCTCAAGTCTCTTTACCATTGTGCTTCCAGAAATCCTGCATGGCAGAGCCTGTAGGAGCAGTTTGTAACTCATAAGTAGTTCCTTTGGTTACTTAGAAGCAGAAGTGGCAATGAAATTGGTGAGAGACATGATACAGAATGGAGATTCAATCCCACAGTTTTCCAGATAATCTTACCATACTGTTTCACAAAGGATATGGTAACAGGGGTCTATAATAAGTATTCCTTCCTGATAGAATACGGCACAAGATATCTCCCTCATCTACAGAAAGGATTGTAAGTGATAATTAAGTTACCAAAGTTTGAAGGGGCTAGCAGGTTAGTTGATGGTGCATATTGACTCTCAAAAGTAACAGGAGAAAAGGCTTTTTTTTTTTTTGAGACAGGGTCTTCATATGTACATAGCCCAGGCTGGCTATGAACTCATGATCCTGCTGCCTCCACCTCCGAAGTGCTCGGATTACAGACATGCACCATGTCTGTAATGGCAAGTGGCAAGACTGGTATTCTAAATAGAACACTTTAAATTCATAACTGATGCTAAATAGAATGAGAATTTGGCCAATCAACTTGCCCCGCTCTTCCACCCCAATAGTTCCTTTCATTGACTTCCAGGAGAAGGAAGAGAACCTACCTGAGTAGATTTTAAAAGGAGGCTGGAGTGAGGTTCTTTGTAAAAGGAGGCCCAGAACGTCTTGTAGGCTTTTCTTAGAATCTAGTTTTGGAGTCTGTCATGGGGTGGGTGGAAGCCGAGGCTTGTGGGATGTTTATTATTGTGGAGGGGATACAGAGTGCCCTTAAGTGGTGGAGGGTAGGCATTGGGGAAGAGAGGAGTCAACTGTCGGAGGGTAAGGGCAGCACCATACTTACAAATGGGCCCACCATTGTGGGCTGTCTGCCTGGGTGGAGAGGCTAGACAACGAAGCGCCTCCCCGTTACCATGGTAGCCCATCCTCTTCCCAACCCCGCCCGCCTTTACTGGCCCTGGGAAAGGCCCGTGGGGAGCGGTCGCCTAGTGCGACTGAAGGCTCCGCCCCTCACTCCGGGTGGCTCTCCGACTGTCTTCCCGCCTGCTTGGCAGTGGGAGGGCGCTGTGGTGGTGGCGTCACATCCGGGCGGGTGGGTGAGTTCCGGTATTTCAGGGCGGAGCAGGCGGAAGTAGGGGGTGAGAAGCGGCTGCTACGCCGAGCGGAGGAGGCAGGAACGCGAGACCGAGAAGCAGCTGGGTGGGGACCATGGCCGGGATCACCACCATCGAGGCGGTGAAACGCAAGATCCAGGTTCTGCAGCAGCAGGCCGATGATGCAGAGGAGAGGGCCGAGCGCCTCCAGCGGGAAGTGGAGGGAGAAAGGCGGGCCCGGGAACAGGTACGGAGAGGGCGAGGCGCAAGAGAGAGGGACTCTCGTTGGAGCAGCCAGGACCCCGAGTGGGGTACCTTTTGCTGTAGAGTACAATCCCGTGGGGGCCAGGAGGCCCGGAGATGGATTTGGAGCCCGGAGAGTGGGTGGGACTCAGCTCTGATGGGACAGCAAGCGGGCAAAGGGGAAACTAGATGCTTAATACCTTTGAAGGTATTAAGCCTCGCGGGGCTTAGAGAGTGGTTTTCTCCTTTTTTCTACCAGCTCATTCATTCAGTCCCTCGGAGCCGGGCGCGGCCAGGGGAGGGGCTCAGCGACCTTCCCTCCCCCCACTTCTCCCTGAATGGCGGGGGCACTTTGCTGTCCCTCGAGGTTTCCGGTCCAAGGGTTAAGAGTGAGTGGGTGCTTCTCTGGTCTGAGAGGGGCCGAGCCTAGCCTCTGCGAAAGGGTGAAGGGTTGGGGGGGCGAGTGTGGGAACCGCCGGAAAGCCCCCAGCCTGGCCTGCTAGCAGCTTTTTCCGCTCCCTCCTCCTGCTCAGGAAATGAGGCAGCCGTCGACTGAGAGGAAGCGCTGTGCCCTCCCTCTCTGGAGGAGCTTGAGGCCACAGCACCGCCTACCATCCTCCGGCCCCCGGCCCTTTCCTCTTATGGGGATCCCTGGTAACTGGTACACGTTTAACCGACATGAGGCGGATGCGAAGGAGATGGTACTTCTCAGTGCAAATGTAGAAGCTAGCAAATAAGCATATTTGGCCCTACCCTTGGTGACCTGGAAAGCAGGAATTTTTGCCATACTCAGACCTTTATGGCTGAAGTGTGATCACTGCAAGCTTAACAAATTAACATTTCTGCCAAGCAGAGCTGATAAGGGCGTTATGGGAGAGAATTAGATGCCTCACCAACTCAAGGTTTCTGATTGACTTGGGCAATATGGTGGATGGAAACAGAATGAGTGGCTCTAGTGATGTTCCTTTGCTACTTTCTCAGTTATCCAGTACAGTTTTTGTTTGTTTGTTTGAAGTCAGTATTTGCTCAGCTGAAGTTGGAACATAAAATGTTGTTGGAATAAATGGTGATTGTTCAGATCGATCTCTCTCTTTTTTGATGGAGCTGAGGTTTGAAGTGAGGGCTTCATGCTTATAAAGAAGGTGCTCTACCGCTTGAGCCATACCTCCAGCCCCTCTTGAGATTTCTTGAAACCACTTTCTGTTTAGAAGTGGTTGACTAGTTTTAGTAAGCCATAAGATTTTCCAAGTCTAGGGTGCAGTTTAGTGGATGGAGCTGATCTCTTGAGGCTTTGGTTTTGGAGGATCTTGAGACTAAAGCAACTGTTGCTAAAATTTGAAGACCTGATGAAAGAACTCTTGTGGTTTTTTGGTGTTCTTTATTCTTCCCCTTGCTAAACTTTTTTTTCCCCTTTTTCCTTTTTTGCTTCTCTTCAAGTGACTGTTTTGGAGGGAGAGAGGTAAAGTTTGGAAAGACAAAGAGAGGGTACAGCTTTCTTCCAGGTTAATGCTTAGATTATTAATTTTTATAACGGGATGTGGAGATGGCAGGAGCTTGTTGTCTTCCTCAGTCCCTTTTTTCTAGGTGGATTTTTCCTCTGTTCAGTATGCTGGAAACTTTTAATGATCAGTTCTGGTGAGATGGGTTAGCTGGGTGACTCTTCATAGTTTACTGATACTTTCTCTTCTCCTTTGTTCTTGAGACCAGATAGCCTTAAAAGAGGAAGACACAGTGTGGGGGAAGGAACTGGCCTTGTGATGAACTGCATTGTCTTAGACTCATTTAAAAATGGATACCATAGCACTAGTTTTACAGTAGATGATGATGATGATGGTGTGTATGTCCCTGTTCTGGTATTTGGTAATTTTTGTTGTAGTTAAATTGGCTCTTCCCTCCTCCCCTTCACTCTTGGTGACTCTGGGGAGACAGGCAACATAGTGAGCTTATGCACATGTTTCTTAAGCTGCCCCCTATTTAGAGCCTACCAAATTGGCTTATTGAGCTGAGGTCCAGTGAGGAAGTCCTCAGAATGGGGAAGTAGAGATGTAGTTAAATATTGATGAAACTAGTCTTTTCTACACTAGCTTGAGACAGCCTAATCTTTTGACTTTCTTCTGTAATGGACTTTGAACCCCTACTGAGGAGGAGACACCCTGGGAAAGGGGGAGGAGGGGCTTGGGCTATCACCTATTCTCTTAGGGCATTCTGGAATGTGGGTTTTGCAGGCTCCTCCCTCCTCTGAGAGCTGGAAGTTCAGCACTCCCTGATGGTATCTGCTATTAGTACAACTGTCAATTACTTTTCTGGTTACTTTGTGTGCACATCCAAGCTGCCCTTGTTTCTAAACGGGATGGGACCAAAGCTGAGACACTGGAGTTGTTTTGAGATCAATCTTTTTTTCTGTTCTTGGCCTGGAGGTTAACCTTTCATAATGTAGCACCTTGTAAATCCACTTTGAGTTTCATTTGTACTGGTGTAAGGAGGTGGGTTTTTTTTGTTTTTTTGGGTTTTTTTGTATGTTGTGTGTGGGGGGTGGGAGGGTCAGGATTGGCCCCAGGGGCCTTCTCCCATGTTAGACAAGCATTCTGAGCTATACCCTCAGCCCTGTACTGCTGGCTAGATTTAAACAGGTGATAGCTGTTTTTTGGGTAGTGGTGGTAGGAATATATTAACATAAAATTTACCATCCCAACTTTTTTTTTTTTTTTCTTTTTTTTTCGGTACTGGGGCTTGAACTCAGGGCCTACACCTTGAGCCACTCCACCAGCCTTTTTTTGTGATGAATTTTTTCAAGGTAGGATCTCCCAAACTATTTGCCCAGGCTGGCTTTGAACTGCCATCCTCCTGATCTCTGCCTCCTGAGTAGCTAGGATTATAGTAGTGATCCACACGGGCCAGGTTTTTTTAATTTTTAATACTTCTAACTTCCTCTCATATTCTTTTTTATTTTGTTCTGGTCTAAAAGCTTAGGAGTACTATTGAGGGAGGGAGTGGGCTTTGAACAGTTTTGGCTCTGGCCTTACTCCCAAATTCATAGTTTCTGAAGGGGGTTAGAATGTCTGGCTGTTGTGTGGTTCTCTCCTATTTGTGGGGTCTGGTGGACTAAGAACAAACTTAGTCCTTTCTTTGGTTTAGATTTGCTTTCCTGCTGCTTACTTTTCTTTGTGCTTCCTCCCCCTGCCCCCCCATTCAAGAGCATACACTCATTGGGCAGAGGCAAATAGCCCTTTGCTCTGAGTGCCTCTGCTTAACTCCACCTTTGTTTACTCTGGGGTGTGCACATAACTCTCTTCTTTCCAACTTAACCTCCCTGTTGGTAAAACTTAAATTCCCCAAGGACACAGTTTTTAGCTGTCTGGGTAGATGTGTATTTGAACACTGTGAGCTACAGCAGTCCTTTACTCACTGAGCTCAAGCCTAACTCTTTTCTTTTAATTCCTTTTATCTAAAAACAAACCCCAGCATGGCAGAGTGCCAGATTTAGGTGAATCCCCTCTGTCCTTGGCCCTGTTCTGCCTCTGAGCACAAGTGCTCTGTCAGTTTCTTTTCTTGAGGGGTATGGTGTACTTTGGGACTCTCTTAGGAATGGAGGATGGATCGTAGCATTTAAATCAATCTCATTTTGTAGCTGAAGCTGCTGTCAGCTTTTGTCTGATATGACCAAATTGCTACTGTGTGCCACTCTCACTTCTACCCTCTGATCTTTGCCTCCTGGGCAGTGGAGAATTCTATTGCCCAAAGGGAAGGACCGGGCTGGAGGCATGGCTCAAGTGGTAGAGGGCCTGTCTAGCAAGCACGAAGCCCTGAGTTCAAATTCCAGTATCACCAAAAAAACAAAACCCAAAGGGAAGGACCTCACTCTATATCCTCCTAGCTGGCCAAAGGTGGGCAGGCGGAAAGGCTCAAACCACAAGTGGGCAGACATGCTAAAACCTAGGATGATTAGAAAAGCACCAAGCTTATATTTCCCAGGGCTGGGCTAGTCTGCAGAAAGTAGTCCTGCAGTGGTTGTTGACATATAATCCTGGCTACTCAGGAGGCAGAGATCAGGAGGATTGTGGTTCAAAGCCAGCCCCAGCAAACAGGGCGGGTGGAGTGGTTCAAGGTGAAGGCCCTGAGTTCAAATTCCAGTACCTCAAAAAAAAAAAAAAAGTCTTGTTCAATCTCTTGGTACTTGTTGTTGACCCTAAATCGTGGACATTGTAAGTCTGGCTTGAAGGGAAAATCCAGTATTTTCCTTACTCCTTTAAACAGAGTATCAGATCTTGATTCTGCAGGCTTTTGTTTCTTTGTAAAGAGAACTGATCTGCTGTTAGAGAAGACAAAAAAGAACAGCAATGTCCAAGACCTGCCACCCTCAGGCTTTCTGAAGCTTTTGCAGACTCTCATCTTGGCTTCTGCTTTTGATACAGGTTTGTTCCTGTGTGTATGTTCTTTCGAGGACACCAAGAAATGTTTTCTTTTCCTCCCTTTTCAACCTTGTGAAGAATTCTATTGTAAATGCTTATTTGTGGGAGAAAGTGCCCTAGCCAGCTTGTTGTCATGGAAACTACACCCTGCCCCCATAGCCTGTTATCTTCTCCTCCAGTTTGGGTAACTACTGAGCTGGATGAAGACTTAAATTTGTGAGCTTCTTCCAAATTTGGTTGTATTTATCATGTTTTCATTTGAGGCATTCTGAAAGGGGGTAAATCATTGTATTGTACTGCCAGTATTTCATAGTTCCTACCTGAAAGTCTGACTTGCTCTTGACTATTTGGCCTTGTTGGGTTTGTGAGGAGAAATCTGTGTTGTCCTAGAGGCATCTGTTTTCCTGGAAGAGACAGAACTAGAGAATACTTGCCTTTGTGGTGTTTTGAATAGTACAGTTAGAGACACAAATGGCTTCTTAGTAATTTCAGCTTATGTGGACGTCTCAATTTTCTTTTCCTGTAGCCTGGTGGTTAGATTGTAGCTCCAGTCCCTGCCTCCCTTCTCAGTCCCTTGAATTTCCTATGTTTGTATGTGGAAATTTTTGTTCAATCCTGATTGTTAACAGGAATCTTTTGGGCTATATCCCTCCCCATAGGGCTGGTGGCCCAGATTTCTATAGCTGCTGCCACCCCTGCCTGCTATGAGGAAATCAGGGTAATAGAATTCAGGCACAATCTGGGCTGTAGAGGAGAGATCGTGTTCACTGGACACTTGGATAAGCATCTGAGCTGGGTGGTGTGCAGGATAGATTAAATTCTTGTATAGTTAAGGCAGTCATAAGAAGGCTTTTTTTCCTTCCCCCTCTAAATTTATGTTTATTACTTTTTTTTTTTTTTTTAATGGACCGGGGTTTGAATTCAGGGCTTCATGCTTGCAAAGCAGGCTCTTTACCACTTGAGCCACACCTCTAAGTCCATTTACTGTTGGTTTTTTTTTTGTTTTTTTTTTTTTTTTGATATGGTGCCTTGCATACTTATTTACCTCGACTGGCCTCAAATCTCATCTTCCCAGTGGAGCCACCATCCTCCCATGTCATCCTCCCAAGTAGCTAAGATTATAGGTGTGAGCTACCCAGCACCTGGCTTCCTAAATTTGAGACAGGACTTTCTTATGTTCCCCTGGCTGACCTCTAACTCATAATTCTCCTGCTTCAGCCTCCAAAGTGCTAGGATTACAGGGGTACATCACCATACCAGTGCAAACTGTCTCCTTTTCTCCTTTCCCATTCAATAGCCAGTCTGTGGGTTTACATGTACTTGAGTTTGTACTTTGTTGTAGGTGGAGACCAAGAGAGAGAATTGTTATAAGTCATATTGAGGGGTGGAGTGGGTGGTAAGGGAGGGGGTGGGGGCAGGGGGGAGAAATGAACCAAGCCTTGTATGCACATATGAATAATAAAAGAAAAAAGAAAAAAAAAAGAATCCTTGGTGGTTCTTTAGACAATAAAAAAAAAAAGTCATATTGAGAGATAAGGCTAAGGAGATGACTAGAGGAAAGAAGATAGAAAGAAAGAAGATAATTTAGAATTTAGATCAGTGGTGCTCAGGGTGATGGGAAACAGTCTCTTCTGTTTTTTGTTTATCTGTTTGTTTTGGTAATGCTATCAAAACAGTTAATTTTAGCCAGAAGCCAGTCTTTCCTTGTCAACTCCAGGGTATGGGAACATGTTGAAGGGAGGGGAGGGCAGGTATCCCAGTTTTCCGGTCTGATAAACTATCCGAGATGACATTGCTTTGGCTAATATCCTGATGGATTAGGGTAAGGTGATTGAAGGACTAACAACTTCAGTTAAGCAGCAAATTGACAGGTTCCCTCTTTAAGAGATTTTTTAAGAAACCTACTTTATTTTTCTGACTTATGAGACAAACCTCCTAGCCAGGCAAAGGAACACTTCTCTGGCTGATTTTTCTGACCCCCATTTGTTCAGCAGTTTGAGCTGAATTCAGAGGTAGTGGCAAGGAACTGAGTTTTGGGGTTTTTATGTTTGGTTGGTTGGTTTTTTTGTAAGCCTGGAGTTTGAACTCAGGGCTTTGGGCTTGCAAAGCAGGCACTCTACCACTTGAGCCACACCTCTAGTAGTTTCTTTGCTCTGATTAGTTTGGGGTCTTGAGAACTATTTGCCCAAGCTGGGTAATAGTTCTGATCTTCCTGCTCTCAGCCTCCCAAGTAGCTAGGATCATAGGTGTGAATCACCAGTACCTGGCAAGGAACTGAGTTTGTTTGAAATGCTTCACAAATTTGCATGCTGTCCTTACACAAGGGCCATGCTAATCTTCTCTGTATTGGTCCAATTTTAGTATATATGCTGCTGAAGTAAGCAGGAACTGAATTTTAAAACACTCTTTGAGAGCTGGGGCTATGGCTGCAGTGATAGAGTACTTGCCTAGCAAGTGCAAGGCCTGAGTTCAAACCCCAGTACCACCAAAACCAAAACAAAACATACCCAACAAATGTTGAAACATTTCACTGCCTCATAGGGAAACTCACTGATGGGAGGACAGGGTCTATTCAAGTAGACTATATATAGCCTCTTCGCAGTAGTCAACTCCAGTCTTACCAGTTCTTCTTTTCACCATGCCTCTGCTTCCCTTTTCTGTTCTTTCATTCAAATGCAGGCTGAGGCTGAGGTGGCCTCCTTGAACCGTAGGATCCAGCTGGTTGAGGAGGAACTGGACCGTGCTCAGGAGCGCCTGGCCACTGCTCTGCAAAAGCTGGAGGAAGCAGAAAAAGCTGCTGATGAGAGTGAGAGGTATGTAGGGGAGCCTAAGAGAATATGAACTTCAAAAAGAAGTTTGTGACTGGGGATGTAACCCAGAGGTAGAGTGCTTGCCTACCATGTTCAAGCCCCAGCACTAGGACAAAGATTGCCTCTGACAAAGGTTTCCTTATAAACCTATTTTTTAAAAATTGTGTATATATTTATTTATTTATTTCTGCAATACTAGGATTTGAACTCAGGACCTACACCTTGAGCCACTCCACCAGCCCTTTTTTGTGATGGGTTTTTTTGAGAGAGGGTCTTGTGAACTATTTGCCGGAGCTGGCTTCCAACCTTGATCCTCCTCATCTCTGTCTCCTGAATAGCTAGGATTACAGGCATGAGCTACCAGTGCCCTGGCTAAACGTTTTTGGTTTTGTTTTTCTAGTACTGGGAATCAGACCCAGGACTTCACATCCTAAGTACACAATCTACCAGATTGAGTTACATCCCCAGCTCCAGACCTGTTTTTTAAAATAGTAATCTTTATATTATTAGATCTTTCTGTTCTGTACATTTTTTCCTCCTTGAAGATGTAGAATAAGGGTTACCTGGACCCTGTGACCCTTGTGTAATTGGTATTTCTCTAAAAATTGACCTAATACTCCTTACAATGGGCTCACTACAGTGGGCTTCCACTTTGTGGGTCATATGCTTCCATTGTGAAATTGGTTCCCTTAAAACAGAGGTTCTCATTGTCAAGTCCCAGGTCAGCACCATCTGCCGATGCTGGAAACTAGGATAGAAATTCAAATTCTCAGCTTCTATTCCTGATCTACTCTACAATGAGAAACTCTGGAGGTGAAGCCCAGAAATCTACTATACCATTTGAACCCCGGCTGTACTATTAGAATCAAGGAAGGGTATACTTGGATTCTATCCCAGTTCAATTAGAATCAGTTGTAAGAAGGACCTGGGACTGATGTTTTAAAACTCCTTCAGCAATTTTAATGCATGGCTGGCTAGGGTTGAGAACCAGATCACAACTCATCTTTTTGAAAACAGCTATTCCTTGCCACATACGAGGTAAATCAGAATCAAAGGTACATGGCAATTTACATGGTATTTTGAGCTAAGGCTTTTCAGAATTAAAAATGCCCTGCTAAGGATACTTAATGCACTGCTAGTACAGAGCAGTGTCTAAATTATATAAAGTAGGCTGGTAGAGTGGCTTAAGTGGTAGAATGCCTGCCTAGCAAGTGTGAGGCCCTGAGTTCAAACCCCAGTACTGCCAAAAAGAACATATTCTAATAGTAGAAAGCAAAGAAAACAATAGTATAGAAGAGCGTTCACACGAATCATTTAGGGGTATCTGTAAAATATTTCTGGAAAGTATTATTAAGGAAGAGATTATTTCTGATGAACAGGGCTAGAAATGGAAGGAAGACTTAGCTTTAAGTTCTTAGACTATGTATTTACATGGAATAAGTTTTATAAGAAAATACTTTTTTTTTTTTTTTTTTTTTTGTGGAACTGGGCTTTGAACTCAGGCCTTAGCACATCTCTAGTCCATTTTCTTTGGTTATTTTGGAGGTGGAACCTCATGAACTGTTTGTTCTGGCTGGCCTCAAATTGTGATCCTCCCAAACTTGGCCTCCCAAGTATCTAGAATTACAAGCTACCAGTGCCTGGCTAAGATGAACTTTTATCTGTCTATCTATTTTGCAGTACTGGGGTTTGAACTAAGGGCCTACATCTTGAGCCACTCCATCAGCCTTTTTTTGTGAAGGGCGTTTTCGAGATACAGTCTCACGAGTTATTTGCCTGGGCTGGCTTCAAGCTGTGATCCTCCTGATCTCTGCCTCCTGAGTAGCTATGATTACAGACATGAGCCACTGGTGCCCAGCAAGACAAACTTTTAAATGAAATAATTAAACTAAGGTGTGCAAGTGAATGCTATGATATTTCTACTTGGGTGGCATACAGAGGAATGTGCTTTAAAAGATGCAATTTTGCCAGGTGCCAGTGGCCCTCACCTGTAATCCAGCTACGCAGGAGGCAAGATCAGGAGGATCACGGTTCAAAGCCAGTCCAAACAAATAGTTCTGTGAGACCCTATATCGAAAAACTTCACAAAAATAGGGCTCAAGGTGAAGGCCCTGAGTTCAAGTCCCAATACCGCAAAAAAAAAAAGGTGCAATTTTTGAGTCCCTTGGAATGGAACTGGTGACGGACTCCTCAAAGTGTCACTGTTGCTTTCATCCTGTTTCTGGCAGAGGTATGAAGGTTATTGAAAACCGGGCCCTAAAAGATGAAGAAAAGATGGAACTTCAAGAAATACAACTCAAAGAAGCTAAGCACATTGCAGAAGAGGCAGACAGAAAGTATGAAGAGGTAAGTCACCTTCTTTTTTCTTTCTCTTCAATAATACCAGGCTTCTGCAAAGAATCATAAGGGAGATGGTTCCTTTGCTTCTCTAAACTGTACCTGGGTCTTTTCCTGTAGGTGGCTCGTAAGTTGGTGATTATTGAAGGAGACTTGGAACGCACAGAGGAACGAGCTGAGCTGGCAGAATCGTGAGTATCTTGCTCCCTAAATCTTGTCCATACCCTTTTGTCCCTTCACCTTTGGCATGGGCGCTAATATGAATAAACTAGCATTCCTTCAACCTTGTTAAACAAGGCCTACGGAGTAGAAGTCATCTATAGTGCTTTTTTGGACTATAGGAATGGCATTGGGCTTACTCTTTTGACTAGTGATAGGTAACAAATGAGGCTTGCTTGTTTCCTTGGAAGGCTTACAAATTAAGGAAATACAAAGACTAATAGATGGTGAACAGTTTATTGGCAGACCCTACTGGATCTTTCCACCTGGAGCCTCTTTCTTCTTGAGACTTGAAAACTGGTCTCTGCTTTATCACTTTGTCAATCTGCTGGGGAATTTTAGGGCAAAGGCAAATATTAAGTGCACCCCCACTGCTACCTCATTGGCCTTGTATAACAAAGTCAGTGCTGATGCATATATATTTGTGTTTTTCTTGCATTCCCCTCTTCCATACATGATACGTCATGATCATGGTGGTGTTTCCTTCCCATTTTTAAATTTTTTTTTCCCTCCCATTTTGCTGCTCATTTTCTCGCTGCGTTCCTTTTTGACCTTTTTCCCCTCCCAACAACCTGGCTTGTGCCATTCCCGTGACTATCACTAACAGCCGTTGCCGAGAGATGGATGAGCAGATTAGACTGATGGACCAGAACCTGAAGTGTCTGAGTGCTGCTGAAGAAAAGGTACTAACAATTAAGCCCACAGAGAGTTTACATGTATGGTGTGGTTTTGTTTTTGTTTTGCAGCTGCCTCCCCTCCACCGGTTGACTTGTTGAGTGCTTTCTCATCTCTTCATGGAATGCTCCATTCTTTCCCACTTACTTGGCATCTTTCATCTCTTTTTCCCTAGTTGATTTACTGCCTCCCCTCAGGCCCTCTCCTTCCCTTGGGTGATTTGAGGGATCATTTGGGTTGGGCATACTGTTCCCATCTCCACCCCAAGAATTAGTTATAACTTGCTCTTGGTATTGATTTCTCTTAAGTGTTCTTTATTAGTATCAAAACATTCCAAGCCCAGGAGAGTCCCTCTGCTGACATGTTCTATGGTAGAGGGAGGAGGGTTGATGCTTGCTCAGGTTACTTAGGAACTTCTTTTCCCCAAAATGCCTCTCAACTCTCTCTACATATAGGTTCAATTCATTTCTGTGTGTCTCTCTCCTTTTTTTTATTCTCTTCCTCTTCCCCTTTCCTCTCCTTTGGTATTTAAAATATTCACAGTAAGTGTTCTGAGCTGGAGGAGGAGCTGAAGAATGTCACGAACAACCTCAAATCTCTTGAGGCTCAGGCGGAGAAGGTAGGGGCTGGCTTGTGAAGATGACAGGCTTTGGGGCCTGGGCCCAGCTCTGCCCTTGATGAATAACTGGAGATACCCATTCCTTATAATTAAGTGAGAAATGTCAACTTTCTCACCACCTACCATCCATCCAGATGCTGGGTTTAATGCTAATTCCTGTGTACTTTGATTACTTAGTTTAAAATAACTTCCATGGTCTCTGGTGCCTGGAGTGTCATGTACTACTCCGGCTGTGCTAAAAGGAAGTTGTCAGGGGCCCTACAAAACTTTCTAGCAAACAGATGAGGGCAACAGATAGCATCTGCTCTGAGACCCAATGGGCAGTCAAGACAGATGACTTCTCTTTACTGTCATGAGGAATGTTTCAGTCATGTGGACTTGGGATGGCACTATTCCTAATTATTAAGCCAGAGAAAGGAAAAACCCTTCTTTGAGTTTATATGAATAAGATCAAAACTTAGTTCTATTTTAAAATTAAAGGTCCAGGGGCATCTGCTCTGAGGGTATCATGGCTCTAAAGAAATAGATGGATTTTAAGGACCTATTGTCCAGAATTGGGACTTGCTTTTATTCTTGGACCATTCAGCACATTAATATGGAGGATGTTCCATGTAAGAGTAAATGCAGGGAGGGGGTGGGTATTGTCTGTGGGACTAATTTCTACTCTGACATTTTTATTCTACTTTTTTTAACAGTACTCTCAAAAAGAAGACAAGTATGAGGAAGAGATAAAGATTCTTACTGATAAACTCAAGGAGGTGAGCTGAGGGGATTATAGAGAAAGACCCAAAACATTTAGGAATTAATATGGACTTAGACCAGCTTGCTTTGGTTCTGAGAGGTACAGAAATAGAGAGCGTAAGAAAAAGAAATGTTAGCTAGGTGCAGTGGTTCACACTTGTAATCCCAGGAGGAAATTGGGGAGGAGATTGGGAGGGTTGTGATTCCAGGCCAGCCCTGGCGAAAAGGTCCAGAGACTCCATTATCAATCACTAAAAACTGGGTGTGGTGGCCAGCTTGGTTTTTTTTTTTTTTTTTTTTTTTTTTTTTTTTTGGTGGTACTGGGGTTTGAACTCAGGGCTTCATGCTTGCTAGGCAGGTGCTCTACCACTGGAGGCACTCCACCAGCCAGTGGTGGCCAGCTTGGCCATAAACATAAGACCCTATTTGAAAAATAACCTAAAAAAAAAAGAAAAATAACCTAAAGCAAAAAGGGCTGGGTACATGGCTCAAGTAATAATGTACCTGCCTAGCAAGTACAGGGCCCTGAGTTCAAGCTCCTGTATTGCCGCCACCCCACCCCAACTCTCCCCAAAAATTAAATCCTTCTATTTATTTTGTTATCTCTGATTTGTTTCATATTTCCTCCAGGCAGAGACCCGTGCTGAATTTGCTGAGAGATCAGTAGCCAAACTGGAAAAGACAATTGATGATTTGGAAGGTATGGAGCCTGGGAGAGGGATTAAAATAGAGAAATATAGAGGGAGGACCTCACCTATTAACCACAAACCTTTTTTCTTGTACACCATAAGGAATTGGTAGTGCCTTGGCCTATGATGTACCACATCCTATGCTATATAGCTAGGCAAAGTGGGTCAAGCCCTAGAAATAGATTTTTATTTAATCTTTTCCTTTATTAAGATTACCTAGTATTTCTGGAATACTCCCTCCCTTTAAAAGACTGATAATGACTGCTTGTACTTCCGGTGTAGTAGTTTTGCATCTTGACACCTGTCACCCCATGGTCACTTTTGGTAAACCTATTCCACTCAAGTTGTGGGGTACTTCTCCAAGACATGAAGCTGTGGAATGACCATGTCTCAGAGCTAACAAATGTCAAGGGCTCTCTACATACTTCCTGTCCTTGCACCTTGGCAACTGCATCCACCTTGATGAAGGACAGTATCTCTTTGAGAACTCTGAGATGTATTCATTTGATACACTCTCAGAAGTAAGATGTTTTCTGAAGAAGTTTGGGGAAACCACCTGTAGAGCAAAGGGATCATGAATAGTGGTCACACTTAGGCAGGCAAAGAAGTGTCACTACAGATACCTACTTTCTCTTTTTACTTTTGTTAAATTACGTATTACCACTGGTAGGAATTGGGTTAGCTGGGTGGGAATAGTATCCACTTGCGTGCCGTTTGTAACAGGACTGTGCCCAGGATCTCAACTCTTGCTATAATTGACTTAGAGGCATAAAGAAGTGAATTGGTTCTAGGGGACAGTGTTTCTTTTAAAAAAAAAAAAAAGGCTAGTCATGGCTGCCAGAATAGATGTTTTCTGGTGTTGGACCCACGGTCCACACTTTTCCTAATTTCTAATGATTCCCTCTCTTCATTTGCTTCTAATACCTGTCACTCTGTCCCCTGTTCCTCCTTGTGGTTCCTGTGCCTGTCCAGATGAGCTCTATGCCCAGAAACTGAAGTACAAAGCCATTAGCGAGGAGCTGGACCACGCCCTCAATGACATGACCTCTATGTAACTATCTGACAGCAGAGTGGGGCTGGGATCCTGGCTTGTGGGTGGATGGGGGTACAGGCTATGCATAGTGTGCTTTGGTTTTGTCCTCTGGAAACTAGAATCTTCACCCTTTTAAAACTTTGGTGCTGATTACTTGTTTGGCAAAAGCTGGGAATTCATTTAATCTTGGATTAATGGTAGAACCTTGATCTACATTTAATTTTTATAGTTTATATTCTTATAGTCTCTTCTCTTTTAGTTTTTAGTTTTTAAAAATTGTCTCATTATGGAGTCCAGGCTGGCCTTAAACTCTTGAACCTGATCTGCCTCAGCCTCCTGAAGGCTGGTACAGGCATGTGCCATTACATTCGGCTCTTAGTCTCTTCTTTATCCTGTGATTTTTTTCATTATGTTTCTCAAAAAGGATGCTGCTAAAGGGAAAATCATACAATAAGGACAAAAGGGCCCAGAGAACAAGTGTCTTGGGCCCTAACACATGTGGAAATTCTAAGCTCCTGGATATATTTGATTTGTCCCAACTTTAAAAAAAAAAAAAATTTTCAGAGAAACATCCCAGATGAGAAAGATCAATTCATCTAAGAATCAAGCTGAGTCCCAGAAGCAAGCCAAGTAGTAGAACAGCACCAAAAGAAGTTGTTGAGGATGTTACCTGGTTTGCTGTGGATCCCTGATCCTTGATGCTAATTGGCCTCTCCTTCCCACTAACCCTGTAGTGTCTGGCTCTCTTCTATCATTCCTGCTGCCACGTCTTTTTTCCCTTTTCCTTTCTCCCAAATTGCTATTTAGATTGATGCTAGTCCTTCTCATTTAGCGTGTCCTTACTTTTTCATACAGATAAACTATCGCTGTTTCTGCTCTGTTCTGGATCTTCCCCCTTTCCTCGGGGAACCCAACGCCCCACTCTCACTCTGGATTCCAAGTGGGTCAGCCTGGCTGGTCCCCAAGACATTAGGATGGGGGAGGGCACAAAACGATTTATGTATTCTCTTTAATCCCCACCCCAAATTAAAATGTTAAACTGCTAGAAACCTCATGCCACCCTACATTTGTGTCATTGACAAAGCTGCTGCTGTCCGTAAGAAGGAGCCTGGGGGTGCGATGCAGGGAACAGCCATTTTTGGCTCCTCCTCCTCTGACTTATGTGTAATCAAAGCCACTTTTGTGTGTGTCTCTTTTCTTGATAATTAAACCCAGCTGATTGGAGTCCGTCAGTGGTGGACTAGTAGAGGCTCCTCATGGTAGGAATTCTAGTGTTAATCCTTGAGCTGAAAGAGACCACCTAAATCTTTTACTTCCATGTTCTTTAGTCATCTGCCTGGGGTGTGTTCATTGTTTCCTCTAGTCCTCCTTAGGACTCCAATACATATTCAATACCTATTTACCATTACTATTACCTATTTACTGGTTGAAACAGTGCACCCTCAGAAAAGCCAGTGAACCTGTGTATATTACTGCCCAAGATGAGTAATTCTATCATCCCAAGTCACAGAAAAATGCATAATGGATTGAGTTCCCAACAGTTCTGCATTTTCTTTAAACCTTACTTAGGTATTTGGGTCCTGGTACCATTTGCCTGTTAACATGTTCAAGTTGAATTTAAGTGTTAAATTATTAATCGGAAAAACTAAAATAAGCAGTCATCTGTATTTCGAATAATGTACACATCAGAGTAATGACTTATACATACATCAATTTCTACTGGTAAAATTGTTCCTAGTTAATATCATAGAATTAAATAGCAATATTTCAGAAGCTTCTATTCCAATGTACATAGCAGAAGTAGTTCAGTCTGGATAGTGTAGCTGCCATTTGCACTAATCTAATCACTTAAGTGCTATACAGGTAATACTTGATTTTCTTAGCAGAGTATGCATTTGACACTTGCTTTTTGTTTAATAGCCAGCCAGTGCTGTGGATTGTTGCTCAGTGCCCGATCCTCAGTACTGGGAAAAAAATGGTGAGATAGAGAAGATTTCCTAATTTAAAATTTTAAGTCATATCAAATTAGGTTTCTTTCTACCGATACCATTTCTTCCTGCTACATGCCTTTGAGATTAAGATACAGATTTATTCATCTGACGCTGGTATTTTCTAGATGGAGGGTCACGTGGGGACAGATAAAAATGGAGGTACTGTCCTTTCTCTCCGGCTCTTGGAATCTAATAGAAAAAAAAAAAAAAAGAACATCCATAAAGCTAGACTCTGTGTGTTGCAGTTCAGGGGAAAGAGATTAATTCCAGTGGGTATAATTAGGAAAGATTCATAGAAGAAGGCACGTAGTAGATACTTAATAAACATGTTAAAACTTGCCTCTTCGTTTTCTTTAGATTCCAAAAGGGTGGGCTTTGGTGGATGTGGGGGGTATTTTCTTGAGACAGGCTCTCATTATGTAGTCCAGCCTCGCCTTGAACTAATGATACTAGCTCAGTTTTCTGAGTCTCCTGAGTTGTGGGATTACAAGCATGTACCACCAGGCCTGGCTTAAGATAGGATTTTTTTTTAGGGTAGTGGTATTTGAATTCTGGGCTTACTACTGTCTAGGCAGGCACTCTACCACTTGAGCTACACCTCCAGCTTTTTACTCTGGTTATTTTGAAGATGGGGTCTCAATTTTTGCCCCAGGTGACCTGAACCACAATACTCCTCTACTTTTATGTTTTCTGACATTACTGGGATGACAGGCACATACACCATGCCCTGCTTTTTTCCAGTGAGGTGGGGTCTCACAAACTTTTGCCAAGTCTGGCCTGGAACGTCAATTCTCCTGATCTCATCCTCCCAAGTAGCTAGGATTATAAGCATGAGTCACTGGCACTCAGTTTAAAATTGGATTTGTGTGTGTGTGTGTGTGTGTGTGTGTGTGTGTGTGTGTGTGTGTGTGTGTGTGTGTGTTTCGCTAGGGGTTGAACTCAGGGCCTACACCTTGACCCATTCCACCAGGCCCTGTGTGTGTGTGTGATGGGTTTTTTTGAGGTAGGGTCTCATGAACTATTTGTCCAGGCTGACTTTGAATCGTGATCCTCCTGATCCTCTGCCTCCTGAGTAGCTAGGATTATAGGCGTGAGTGCCTGGCTAAGATTGGATTTTTAATGAACCAAATTCATTTGAGGAATAGTTGAGTATTCTGGTTAAAAAGAAACAAAATACAAAAAGGCATAGACGGGTGGGAAGGACACAATAGCTACAGAAGTAGATTTAGAAAAGAGGGTAGAAATGTTTTCTAAAATCAGTCTGGGCAGTTTAAATTTTATTTGGTAGGTGATGGTGATGCCACAGGAGTTTGTGAACAGGCATATGTTAGCATGTGAGTATCTATCACATAAAAAGAATTAATCTGGTGGCAAAGTTAAGAATGTATTGGAACTAGGCATAGTGGCATACTACACCTATGATCCCCGCTCTCAGCTAATGCAGGAGGATCACAGGTTTGAGGCCAGCCTAGACTATAGTAGTGAGACCTTGTCTTTTTTTTTTTTTTTCTTAAAGAGTATTTTAACCCATTAAAAGTGATGGACTAAAATGATGATCCCCATGTTTCGTCAGTTGCATGGCATTTTTATGGTGTTTGCCATGTTTGTATGCTGTCTACATTATTGTTCTTCAAATCTACTCTTGTATTCAAATTGTGAGGTTTTCATTAAAGTTCAAGTATAGTGCTTGAATACATAAACACTACTGTATACAACATATGTACCATAACACTACATACATTCCAGTAGTGAATATGCTGTACTTTGGGGAATAGGTTGAGGTTAGGTCGTTGTAGTTTTCCAGAATTAGGTCTGAACTAAAGTAGTCGTAATAGGAAGACAGCACTGAAGATGGCATCTTTTTAAATTACTGGGTTTTGAGCTCCTGGCTTCATACTTGCTAGGCAGGTGTTCTACCATTGCAGCCACTCTGCCAGCCCTTTTTTGTGTTGGATATTTTTGAGATCAGATCTCACTGGCTGGCTTT